AACCCGGTAACAGCCAGCTGAAGCAGGAATTAAGGGAACCGGAATGACAGAAGTAGCCTTCTCAGACCCACCTTGATTAATTTTGTCAAAAAGGTTCTTCTACTACTATGCAGGAGGCTCATAAAAAGTTCGACAGTTCTCCTCTAGCATTTACAAGCTGAGAAATGGGTTTGTTTTCACTTTGCAGTTTAATTAACCACAGAAACTTCCGAGTGGTTAATTCATTTTTTGTGAAGGTGATTCTGCCAAGCCAAACGTCTAATCTGCTCTAGCTGAATTCCATCCAATCTTGTGTACCAGCAAGGTCTACCTGGTGAAGGCTACTGGGAAAGAAGTAACCCTTCTTTTTATGAAATTTAATCTTACTTTTGTCTTAGTGAGTTATATCATTCAGGAAAAAAAAAAAATTGAACTGTATTTAACTGTGAAAACTACTGTCCAGATTTCAAGTCCCGGACACTATGTTTCATGGACTGTTTGTTTAATGAGGCATCCATCTGAATAGTTAAATCAGTATTACTTTTATAGCCCAATGCTTCATAAGCTTATGTTTCATTACAGATTGTACATGTGCTGAATTCTTGTCTAATGACCATGTAACAGGGCACGTTCAATTATTCTCTTTGGGTTTTAGAAAGAAACAGGAAGTTTGGCTATAAACAATGCAGTCATAGAATAGATTTCACCACAGCAAGTTCATCTGAAAAATATGCATTCTTTACAACACAGCCAGGAATGGCATTATGAGAACCAACATCTTGCTGCGCTCTTTTTTTTTTTATTATTATTTTGGTTTTTTTTGTATTAATACTTAGGCAATATAAGAAAAGAAACTTTTAGTTAATACTGGATGTTTTGTGATGAGCATTACTTGAAAGATGTGGATAGTGAATCAAAAGCAGCTGCTAGAATCCACAGGATAAATAACAAGTTTGCTAAATTTAGTGTACGTTATGAAATACATAGAGTGGAGGAAGAGTCAGCTGTTGTAAATTTTTATCAGCTGCGAAAGAATTACTACAGAATATTTCACTCTTTACTTATAAAATAAAGGAATGACGACAGACAAAATAATGACAAAATATTTAATAGGAAGATGTCAGTTGATCTACACTAAAATTTAAGACTAAAATACATCTAATTCTTGGTTACATTTCTGCTTTTAACTCCTTTTAATAATCTACAAAAATATCCACCTCAACTGTAGCATTAATGAAATGAGAACAGCTATTATTCTCAGGCTTCCCATTGTGCCTAGAAAAAGCACAGTATTATTATTACTATGCCACATCTTTTAATTATTCTATAAAAAGGGTAACATTTCAACTCCAGTATTAAACAGAGGACACTTGGATTATTAAAAGCATTTTCTTAAAATAATCAATAACGTTACAGTTCTTCACTAAAAGAGCAAATAAATTACTTAGCCATCTATTTAATCTTAACTAAATTTAATATACTTAATGCCAAGGTTTTACTTATTTTTTAAGTTTCATGTGGGAAAGAAAATATTTAAAAACATAACGACGACAGTCCACAATTACAGATTGGATTAGGTTTTCCCTAGGTTCTAGCTTCTAAAGATTCCAAGTATTATGTCACGGCAGAAATTCTGTGAAGTACTTTACATCAAATGGGAAACAAAATGTCTATTTTTGAAAGACTGAGGTTGCCCAAAAATAATTAAATACATGTTTAAAAATAACCACTGCCAAGTAGCTGACACCCAAAATCTGACCTATCTAAAAACTGAAGAATTATTCTACCAGTTTTAAAATCTTGCTATTTACACCCACGCAAATCTTGCCAATAAATGCACTTACAGAAATATGTATATAGATTACAGCGTACTTGTACACATTTGTCCTGTGCTGGCCTGACAGAGTCGGCCAGCAGAGGGAGCAGAAGCTAATGAACCTTTTTCCTAGAACAAAGATGAGAATCATTCATGCTATGTCAAACATGGAAGTAAATGAAAGGAACACCATTTTGGCTGTCCCATTAGTAAAAAATATGTGGTGGAGAAAAAAAAGACATTCTACAAAATGTTTTTGGTTGTTGTGTTTTTTTTTTCCAAAGCAGATAAAAACCAAAAACCACAAACAAGTACATTGAGCTTACCTTTGCACAAAAATATATGCATTTCTATAGAACAGAAAAATATATCCTCACCAGGAACAGCAAAATATTTTCTAAAGCCATCCTCTATAACATTAATCTATTGTTTCTAGACACCTTTCTCTGCATTTTTGTTGCTTATTGTAAAGTTTTTACCTGCAGGTTAATCTCTGCTTCATAGAAAGTTAAGCAGGAACAGTAGTGCCTCTCTGAGTCTATATCGGTCAAAACCACCACAAAGAACGTTGGCTGTTTTCTCTCTTTCGAAAGCTGCCATCCTCCAGGCTGGCAAAACTAATGAAACAAAAAAAAAAAAATATAACAGACATACAGTTAAGCAGTAATATCAATTGTTTTAAGAAATATGAAAAATATTTTTAAACAATATAACAGAACATTATCTAAAACAAGAATCTCATTTCATTTACAGTGAACATATGCAGGGTTGCAAAATTTGGAGAAAATGGGAAAAACCCAATAGGTCTTGGAGTTGGTCAGACTGATATAAATCTAACTCTATAGACATGAAGGGAGATATAATAAACTCTACAAACTGAAGATGTGTTCCTTTGAATTCAGTATTCAAGATCATCTTTGCAGGGTTTAACAGGCAATAACAGGAATAAATTGACAAGTTTTCCAGGTTTCCTTTGGATAACAGGTTAGAATTTGAAGCTAAAATCATTGTGTCTTGGAATGTCTCTACATTTTTCATTTCTCCACTTATTTCTCCATTAATTTATCTAATCCAAATAGACATTCCACTTACACCTACTTGCAAAGTTATTCAATACTTATTCCTACAAAAGACTACAGAGCAATGGTTTTCATCCATTTATTGATTACCTCTATAAACTTCATTGTAAAAATTTGAAATTTTATAAGAGGTCATACCATAGCAGGGATATAAGCTTTGCCACCCCTGTGAAAAATATGTTCAAGTTTCGTGACTTCTTAAGTCTCAGGGACAAAGAAAATCACTCGCTTCTCAGACTCAAAGAGGCTGCAGTTCTCCAAATACTTTGTATGTACTTAGAATACTACATGTTTCCAAGCTCTTGCAGCAATGAGCAGACTAAGTATGTGTAATACTTAAAACACACATCAAATAAGCCTACGTCCTTTCAGTATTCGTTCCTTCAATCTGACCAGGGTCGTGGCAGTGCAAGTCACTAGAACCGAAGACAGCGATTCTGACCTCAGAACAGAGATGCACAAGCAGCAGGAACAAAAAGAGAATTACAGCGCTAAAGCAGAGGGAAAAGTGTACGTTTTTCCTTCTTTTTTAAATGACTAGAGTACAACACAGGTTAATATCTTGTTCCCAGTAACGGAGGAGTGTGCTGAAATTCAGAAATCAGTTTGCTGAAGGTTCTTGAGATGGCCTTTATGGAATTTTGTATTCACTGTTTCTTTTACTTAAGGCTGAAGTCACATACATGAAAAATTCACAAGTACATTAGTATTAGCAAAATTATAAACTTAGAATTTTCCCGGGGCGAAGGTAATAGCCCCTGCATGTATTAGGAATAAAAAAAAAAAAAATTCTAGAATTGTTAAACAATGCAGATACCAAAGCAACCAGAGAGAGAGGTCAAAAACTCATGTTTCCAGCAACTGCTTCTTTCCCCTGAGCAGCTGCTAAAAACTGAAAGAGCATGAAGAATAAGTTGTAAACAAACATTTCCTACAGATTCATCTTTAGAACCTCTACAATAAAACCTGGGTAGTCTTAGGTGAACAGGAGTTAAAACTCTGCCTCTGATATACAGTTTATTTTATGATCCTGGGAAAATCTTCAAAACCAAAGTTTTCTCATGTTACATTCTTCATATTCTAGATAGTCAGCTTAACACTTCTGAGTCTGTATCCTTAGAAGTGCTAAGCACCCCCTCCTGCATCTGAGAATAACTGTTCTGAACATCAAAAAGTACCCTGAGAAAAGACATCCTACTCATTCCAAGCTAAGCATCCAGTATTAGTCCATGATTTTGATAATACTGGCCTAATCTCCCTTTGTTTTTCATCCCATGTCAGTTAAAAATAAGAAGATACCACTATTAATCTTGTAGGACTGCTATAAAGATAATGTAATATGGTTGATATATACAGACATTATAACAAAAGCATCATTAAAAAGCTTGACAAAAAAAAAATCATTAGAGTTCGGTATGCATTGCAGAGTTTAGGTGGCGTGCAGTAAATGAAGCCTGGAATCTGTAGCTCAAATAAGATAAAACCCCCAAAACTCTGAATAGCTATTTGTTCATTGAGTATGAGCCAGAACGCAAAGAATGCAGTAAGATTCCGTTAATAAAGAAAACCTTTCCATGGTATACCGTTAAAACTGAATCATCCCTACAAAGTAGGTCAAATTAAGGTTGCTTATGTAGTCCTAGTTCTGGCACGTCTTAAGCTCCGAACGCTTGAGTTTACAATCTTAAAACTCTTTCAGATCTGCCAAGTCTACCTGTTCTGACAGGAGATCCTTGCCGGTGCCATTGCCCTTTAGCTTTACTGGTAATTTCCCATCTCACACCTGGAAGTAGTAATCGATCAGATTTCTGAGTGTCTGGAATTCCTGGACAAATGACCATTCTGCACACACCAAACACCACCCTACTAAAGGCTCAGAAGAACTGTTACATCCAAATAATCCACAAACAATATATTCTGCACCCAAATGACAAATATGTGAGCTTGGGATGTGTCGCTTACGCAGAGCTGGTTTTCATACAATATACATAGAATCTACCAACTTTGAACTCTGAGGTATTGGTAGGTTCATTTTGAATATACTTTTTGTATTTATTTTAAAATAAAATGTACTTAAAATAATTCTTTTTATTGTAATAAGCCATTATTACCAGATCTACTGCATAAAATTTATACCAACATCTCCCCTGTAAACTGGAAAATGCAAAGGGCAAACCAACAGCTAAATTTTTAACTATCAGAAGTGACTGTTGATCTGGGCAGGCTGCTCTCAATAGCAATCTCTCAATCTTTATGCATGTCTAAACCCTATTCATGTCAGTGAGAATTCGTCCTGATTTCAAAATGGTCTTGTGTATAACATATGCTTTCTAGATTTAGCTATTTAACCAGAAAACAAGAATTAGTGATTGTTAAGGAAAACAGCTGAAGTAGAATACACCCACTGGCTACCAGAGAATCTGTGTTTTCAAATAAACTGGAAGGAATTTATAAATATAGAGATTGAGGATAAAGACAACATGCTCTTCCAAGAAATTAAACAATGAATGATTCTCATTTCCTTAAAATAAGGTAATCAATATTAGTGTAATATTTGAAATGCAAATAACATTGAGAAAAACTTTGCAAATTATTATTAATACAAGCACTATCCAGTATGATTACCAGCACAGTCTGGCCACTAAGAACAGGAAAATGTTTCCTTACCAAACCAGATGCTATACCAAAACAGACAAAAGCACCACTGTGAATATAATTCAAAGGTCACGTGCTTCTTCAGTAAACAAGAAAAAAACCCCAGAAGTTTCAAAATGAACACACTCCCATATTGTTTCACTTATTTGCCAGAATTCTTGGAACCAGAACATAGCTTCTATCAAAGACACTGAAAATTAGAAAGAATCAGATTGTCCGACTCACTTTTTATAAAAATAAGCCTCTAATGGCAGCGAGTGCTTCAAATCGACACCACGTTACAACTAATTGCCTTCTAAAATCTGGTGCAAATATCCAGAAGTTGCGCTGAAGAATATGTAAGAGATCTTACATTCAAGATGCTGAAAAGACATTTCAAGCATTGTTTGAAATGGCAGGTGCCCACTGAAGCAAAGAACTTTTTCTTAATTATTCCCACAAGTGCTTTCACACTAAAGAAGAAACCAGACAGATTTTAAAATGACACATAGTGTTTTAAAACAGTGTAGCTGAGTGTTACCTTTAAAAATTTTCTGTCGTCACTATAAGCCTTCTCTCTAAAGTCTAGACATGATTAATGAATGTTTAAAAGTGACATTTGTTTCTTCTAATTTTTATAAGCGGAAAACGTCATCTTTGCTTGAATCATAAATTTGTTCCTTGTTCCCCACCCAGAGCCATAGCTGTATTCCTACTCCTTGCCTTGTCCTTCCCTATTAAAATAAATCATTTGCATAAATCAGCATATACCTTAGATATACTGTATACAGCTTTGGTGTCTAGAATCACAGAATATCCTGAACTGGAAGGGAACAATGAGGATTGAGTCCAACTCCTGACTCCACACAGAGCAACCGAAAAGTTAAACCATGTATCTAAGAGCGTTGTCCAAACACTTCTTGAACACCGACAGGCTTGAGGCCACAACAACTTCCCTGCGGACCACTCTAAAGTCTGTTGAAAAATTGAAGAAAATGTAAAAATAGTCACAATTTCTATTAAAGCACTGGAGGAATTAGGACGTATGAAGAAGGCTTACTGGATACTGTGGAAGTGAAGATTAAATACTATTATTATACTGAACAGTTATTACATAGTGTTCAAGTTTCATTAGAGAAAAATTTTAGTCGTTTGTATCCTGACCATGGCAGAACTATATTATTTGCCCTCCATATCTGTTGATCAGAAATTACTCATTTGCTGAATTGCATGTGAGAACTTCGTCATTTACCTCTGGGCTTGCACCCCAAGCACAACCAAGTCCGTAACAAAAACTCGAACCAATATTCTAGTGGGGTCTGTGTAGCTGCAGACAGGAAGACTGCTCTCTCTGCACTTTACATTGTTTTCTATATCAACGATCTGGTCAGCTTTCCATCAGAAATCCACTACCTCTGATGGCACTACCAAAGTGGAAAGGGGAAAAAGCTTGTTCAGAAAGTTTATGACATGATACATTCTTTGCAAGTCATTTGTTGAAAGCATTTTTTGAAGAGTTTAAAGAACAGAAGACAAGGCCTGTGATACACCATTACAGAACCCCACACTTAAATAATTAAAAAATTATATTTAAAATATATTCTCACACTATTTTCTTAAAAAATAAAAATTTGTGCACTTGTTTCTTGTTAAATAAAATCCAAAGCGATCTGGATGCACATAAAATAGAAAACATCTGAACTCTATCGACAAGACTTGAATTAAAATATCCCAAAATGACTTCAGAATTTAAAACATCTGACACAGATATCCACCTTCCTTTCTAGTTTAACTCTTTCACCAAACATTTGATTCTCCTTTGGATCACTGGGCATAAACTTTCATTTTATTAAGTCTGCTTCTGTAGGCTTTCTTTTACTTTTCAAATAACTGTGCTTTGTTTT